CCGGTAAAAGAATTTGTAGATTTCGCAACGCGAACGTCAAAATATTTTAACAAAATAATTTGTATCGCGCATAATGCGAAAGCGTTTGACGCTCAGTTTATCTTAAAATACATCGTAAAACGATCTGGCATAATTCAAGAGCCACGGATGATTTTGAACGGGACGAAAATTATCATGATGACGGTCGGTAACACAAAATTTATTGATAGCTCAAATTATATGCCGATGCGATTATCTGATTTACCTAAGGGTTTCGGACTGCAGGATACATCGGGTAAAGGCATCTTTCCTCATTTATTAAATAGAAAAGAGCATCAAGCATATATCGGACCAATACCTAGCGCACGGTATTATTCGCCCGAACAAATGAAACCCGAGGAACGCGAGCATTTTATAAAATGGCACGACGATATGACACAATCCGGCTTCATTTTTTATTTTCAACGCGAAATAGTCAAATATTGTCGTAACTACGTCCTTCGACGGGCCTGCTTGGCTTTCAGGAAAATCTTTCTTGAACGCGGGAGCGTGTGTGCGTTCGTGGAATGCACAACTATCGCTTCTACGTGTATGAAAGTTTTTCGCAGAAACTTTTTACGCGGGAAAGAAATAGGAGTCATTCCAGTGGGTGGATACAGATATAGAGATAATCACTCGCCCAAAGCCGTGCAGTGGTTGGTGTGGATGGAGCGTGAGCTCAATCAACGGATAAGCCACGCGGGGCGAGGGCGCGAATTTCGGATTGCCGGTACGCCCGTCGATGGATATTACGAAACTGATTTGGAGAACGAGACGCAACGTTACGTGTTACAATTTCACGGATGCTTTTGGCATGGGTGTCCATCATGCTTCCGAATAAATTGCGAGAGAAAACTCAATTCTTCCACCGATCATGGCGATACGATCGACACGCGCTACGAGCGAACTCTCGCGGCGACATGGCGTCTTCGACGACGGGGATACCTGGTGATGGAGAAATGGGAGTGCGATTTCGACCGAGAAATACGTGAGAATAGTGAGATGCGCGATTTTCTTGAAAATGCTCAGATAATAAAGAACTCGCCTCTCGATCCGCGCGATGCATTTTTCGGTGGCCGAACGGGGAATATAGCAACCCGATGCGATGTTGCAGGAACGGAGAAAATACGCTACATAGACGTATGCTCTCTGTATCCCTATGTACTAAAAAAGGG